TGTGAAAGGCAAAAGTAAAATTTGACTTTCCCTAGTGCGTTTGTATTTATTGACGCACATTTTAAGAGGTATGAGCAAAACAGAAAATAAGTAAGCTTTCTTTGAAAGCTTATTGCCGCATTCAGAGAAAATATGAACAAAGGTAAAATCTGAATGGTGTGGAAGGTGGTAAATTCTGAGTTGTTTGAGTAAAATCAGATTTGCAGGACCTGGATCAAGAAGTGGACAAAATGCTCCTAAAACACGTCGGCCCCAAAATTCCCCTCAGTACTGAGTGATGAAAGGCAGGTACTTGGGTACAGAAGATCTCCTATTTCATTCAACCATGGAAAAAATCCTGCAGCACAGAAAACTTTTTGACTTATCCTGTTCATGACCTTTCTCTTCACTAAATTCCTGCATCAGTGATATGTTTATGGAGAGCACCAAATCTTTTAATAGATTCCCTAATTTTTCCTTCTCCTATGACAGCCCCCTCAGGTGAATCATTATTAAAATAATACTTGGAACAGTAATTATTCTGAAATTTTTATCTACACATTAATCATGATGGGCAGGTTATGGGGATATCTATCACCATTTGCAAACATTTATTGAACACCCACTGTGATATATTAGTTGAGGTTCACGGATTTTCTGAAATAGGCAATTCAAGTTAATGAGGGTAAATGACTCTGATGCACACTAGGGCTGTTGATATCTGTCTGTGGAACAATAATCAAAACTTGCATGTTCTGCACTTGCTACATGCTGCTTAGAATTTAACTGCTTTACATACGATTTCATCATCCCAGCAACCCGTGGGAGAGGTGCTATTATGGCTTTTTTAGAGAGGAGGAAGGTGAGTGACAGAGAGGTTAATTTAACTTGCCAGAGTCACACAGCTAGAACATGGCCGAGCTGGGGTTCTAGCCAAGCAACTGACGCCAGAATCTATGCTCAAACCTACTCCACCATCCTGTATATCCTGTGGCCAAAGCAAGAACTGAGTTTCCAATTTACAGAATTTAAATTCTTGCTAAATTAAAAAAGATGCTGTAATTTAGCTGAATTTTAAATACAAACATGTCAATCACCTTCATTATACCCTGGGATTCACAGAAACATATATTTTTTTCTGCAGAAGTACTAGGATCTTTTAAATCTATATGATGTCACTATGTACATTATTTTCTGCATGCCCACACTTCCCTGTGACCCATCAAGAGAAGAGGTAGGGGTAAATGTGCAGACTTTAAGTCCTGCAGCAAGGGACCAAAGCCCCCAGTTCTGCTGCTCACTGGATAGATGACTTGGAGCAGGTAACTTGAGCTCTCTTAGCCTTGCTTTTCTCATATTTAAAATGGGATGAAAACAGTTACACATCTCATAGGATTGAGTCAACCCACCAATGTAGAAGTATTTAGTTGAACACCTGCCATGTTTTAAGTGCTCAGTCAATGTTAGCTGAGGTGACTGTCAGTGTGAGTATCCCCACAATGCACTCAATCTGAGCTAGTGTGGCAAGGACATGGGAGCTGCTACAAGGCAAAGTAAGAGGTTTCTTCTCAACCAATGTGGCATCTCTCTATCATAATGAATGGGCCGTCTTTAATCATCTTCAAACTTCAAGGGACTTCATCCAGTTCATTTTTGTCAGTGTTATTTCGAATAACTGTCTGCCTCCTTGATTGCATCACACTCTGATTTAAGGAGTTACTTTATTTTGAAGGAATCTAGCCGAGAATGTGATTCTAATGAGATCTTCCAGTAAGGAAGTCCTATTTTAATGACTGTGATGGGGAGATACCTATTGTGAGTAATCCACAGATGATTCAACACTCTCATTCAGGGTGTGAAAGTAGGACTAAGGTGGTAGTTATAATTAATAATCTGAAAGTGTCCATTTGTACAGTGATGTTTCATAGTTACACAGCAACCACATGAACTGAATTTTGATGGTCTGGTAATGATACAAATGCTTCTGTTTTTATTTCTTTTCATCGTGGTCAGGTGGCTGGGGAAACCATAGAGATTATCATCTGGTTTTCTGAATTTAGCTCTCATTATTTTAAAGAAAATACTTTCTTATAGACAAACAGTATTGAGGTTCAGGATGGTCTATCACCTGCTGAGGTTTTGTGCATAGAATATCAAAGACCTTTTTGGAGTTTTTCGGGCTTTTCTTGTACCGTAGAATGTGTCTAAGAGTCTTAAATATCCTGGTGAATGTTAGTTCCCTACAGGTATAGTATATATTTCTTACACGTATTTACATTAGGATAATATCTAGTTAAGGTAATCACTATCCGCCTAAATTACAAAAGTCAAAAACACAGAATTATTCTCAACTCTCTTCTTCATTGTTCAACAATTACTTGGTTATTTTATTTCATAAATGTACCTTTAAATTGTTCTCTCCCTAATATTCCTTCTGGCCTCATTTTGTTGACAATTCAGACATTCATGCATGTAGGAACTAAGTGATCATCGTAAACAATAAAAGTCGAGCTCCTGAAAAGTGACGGGGTTGGGGGGGATCCTGGAAAACTGGGAACCTGATGCCTGCAATGGGGTGCAGCCACTATCAGCTAAAGAGGATATTTGAAACTTGCCTAGTGTGGGGACAAAAAAAAAAAAAAAAAGAAAGAAAGAAGAATGGGTTTAACTCATGGACTGTCGATTCACAAACTTTATTTTACACTCTCATCACTTTTCTTCTATCACGTGGCAGTGACTCCTGACTTTAGCTGTCTTTGTGCCCCATCTGTCCTCTATTCTGGCAGCATGGGATATTTTCAAGGGTCCAGTGATAACTGTCATTCTCCTCTTTTAAACAACTTCCACATCACCACATTGATTGCTGCATAAAGTGCAAAGTCTGAATTCTCTGTCATGACATGTAAGGGGCCCTGCTTGGATCTAGCCTCTTCCTACTTTCTCAGTCTCACCACTCTCCAGATACATAATGCTTCAGAAATACAGACTTACATTCCCTTGTCCAAGTAGACCATGCTGTCGATGCCCTTGTGTTTGTTCTCTCTGACCACGATCCAACCGGTGGACATCCATCCTTCAAAGCTTACTTGGGCCTCCGTGCCTCTCGGAAGCCTCCTTACTCATGCACACTTGCCAGGCTGTACTACAGATGGTTCTCAAAATCCTGCTCTCTCTAAATGCCTTACATGCTTCACACTGATCCACTCAAGTTTAAACCCCATATCTGCCCACTTTGTTAATTAGCTTCTGTCCTCCTTTAATGCACAGACCCTTTCTGACTCTCTTTTGGCTCTCTGGTGTCTAGCACAGCCCCTGGCACTTAGTATGTGTTCTGTAATTGTGTGTGGATCTGAATATTAACTTGTTAACAGCACGCTTCCCATATTCTGTTATGAAGGTGGTAAGAAAGAGAATGATGAGTGTTTTTGTGGACACTTCTTACAGGGACAAAATTATTGAACATACTTTATCTCCAAGGCAGGATGTCTATGTTTTTATCCTTTAAAGCCTGCAAAGGGCTATATGTTTTCAGATTCACTTTATTCTAGAAATTTCCAATTTGGTGTAATCAAACAAAAGGCACTGCTTAGGAAGGAGGGCAAAAACCTCGTAAATCCCAGTGGTAGGCTGATTTCAGAAAACACTAAGACATGTGATGTCACCCAGCTGCTGACTGATTGGACCATATCAGGCAGCATCTCCACTGGTTGTGTTTAATGGGCATTTATATAGTGCTTGGCTCTGATGCTGTTTGAAGCAATATTCACTTTCCACTACACCGGGGATACGGTTCATAATTTTTTGACCTCTGTGATTTATGTGTCTGTTTTTCCCAGCTTTTGTTTTGATATCAGAAACCGTTAATCCTTCAAAGTCCTGTGGTTGTAATGTTAACTGCCAACAGCATTGATTTGCAATTGGCATGAGAGTATGCCTCAGCCATTTTATAACACTTCTGATTTGTTTTTACCACTGAAATCCTCAGATATAGAATTTTCCCTAACTCGTCAAAAAAAAAAATACGTTCACTCGAACAAAAGATGTTCACTCTAATCTAAGCCTCTGAGTTCATTTCCTTGGTTTTACATCAACCTTTTAGTTAAGGCTAGCATTTCATGATGACTTGTGGTTTCCCTATTGCTGCATTAATGATTATTGTTTCTATGGATTTTTTTATTTCTATATATTCTAATATATATGGTATATATACATCTAACATAAATGTATATATACATATATGCAGATATACATACATGTGGGTGTGTGTATTGGGGGAAGAGCCAGTTATCTTTTGTTGACAATCATCTGCAATACATTTTATTTTTAATTACAGTATATGTTTTATGAAGAAAGCATATTAAAGGCTAATTTGAGGGTCATTATCAACTATGTAATTTTGCTTGTGGGCTCTCATAATGACTACTAATGTCATCAAAGCCATTTTTTAAATTATAGGCTTTTAATGCCTCTAGGGTATACTTTATTTTTTGCATAATTAATAAGAATAATATAATTCTTCAGACTTGATAGAATCTATGATGGTGATTTTGCCTCCATTAAACCTTCAGATAAAATACTTTTAAAAATTATGGATAGTTGCATTTGTTTGGAGCAAGTATGTGGGGGAAGATGACCTGAAACAGAAGTTATTGAGAAGAAAGCAATTAGGAATATGTGGATCAGTCCAAGTACATGTTAGCCTGTCTACTAAGACACATGCATACCTCACTAATGAAAGTGTTTGCAAAAAAATAGAAAGTATCTGGGAAAAATGGTCTAACATTTAGCTCACGTGCAGGTAATTCATTCTTCTTAATAGGGCTTTAGTGGAAAAAAGGCCAAAAGCTATTTGTGATTTGCTTTTTTATTCCATGTTTTCTGTAACTTTGAATATATTCCCAGATCCTGGCTTCACCTAGAGAAATCAAGCAATTGCAACTGAATAGTAGGAAACTCCTGTTTTGACAGTAGAAAAGCCTAGGCGTTAACTGACTATCTTTGGGGAATTTGGTGTTTTTCAGGGAATGATGTACCTGGAAGAAAGACGGCTTGTTCATCGGGATTTGGCAGCCCGTAACGTCTTAGTGAAATCTCCTAACCATGTGAAAATCACGGATTTTGGACTAGCCAGACTCTTGGAAGGAGATGAAAAAGAGTATAATGCTGATGGAGGAAAGGTGGGTATCTTTTTGAGAGTGATAGTTCTTGAAAATATAGTATGATATCCTTTTATCTCCTTATGTGTTATAGGAAGAAGTCAATAAACCTGAGGTTTAAGAGATTATAAAATCCCAATTCTACCTTCTTCTATTTGCCTCTCTCCTGCCCAGGGTGAAAAAAAAATACACATGCACACATATATGTATATGTACACACATACACACATATATAATGTATAATATATATAGGATATATTACCAATTTCCATTTCTGAAAAGTAGCCAAAATAAGATACTGCATGTCTGGACTCAAGTCATCTTTATGTCAGTTCCAGTGTTGGAGAGTGAATGGCTTCCTAGGAATCCTAGAGATTACACTTTAATCCAGGGCCATAGAAATTATTTCAGTGATCTTAATCACATAAGACTGACTAGTACAGAGAGATCAGAGAGATACAACTTCTCTGTCATGGATTAGAGAGAAGTTTCACTATGACCAAGAATTGTAACTATTGGAAAGTTGATCATCTTACTTAACTTCTAATCCTCCTATACCAGAAGCAACAGGTTCCTCTTATCTGGCTCTATTTCTTTTCTTTTCTTTTCTTTTTTTTAGTTTTCATCATAGGGTGTGAGTTACCAATGTACTTTATTATCTGAGTCCCCCCACTTCAATGGGAACTGCTGTATCCCAGGGTTGTAAACAGTGCCACTGCCTCTTCTATCTTTTCTGACTCTCCAGCCTCAGGCCCTGACCGACAGCTGTGTTTCTGCCTCTCTCACTCACCACGTGGTCTCAATCCATGCCTGAGTTCCAGCTCTTGTCTTTCTTCATTAACCTGCTGTGTAGCTTGCCAGTCTTGGCTAGCCATCTAGGATGTCTCCTCTTCATAAAGAGGTCCTTCTAGGTTGGCCTGGAAAAAACTTGGATCAGGAGAGAACAAATGAAATAAGCAAATGCAGCCTAAATGTAGGGTGACCAATAAGCTCACGCTAACGATAAAGAAGTAATTCATATGTCATACAAATATGTTTATTATGTGCCTTATTCATCATGGGCCATCCAAATATGTATTATAAATATTTTGCAATGATATGCTTCCATGCTTAACATTGATTTTTACACTATACTCTCCTATAACTATATATTCAAATCTTGTCACAAAGCAAAAGAACACAAAATTTATTTTTTAAAAAGACTTCAATCTTATAGCATTATCCAGCTTTTCCTGGAATTTATTAGCCTATTTTGCCTGTTTACTACAAATTGCAGCAGTTTGAGACCTCAGCTTTGAAATTCACTACAAGACTGCACAGAAGTAGAAGTCTATAAATCACATGACTTCACTTGTCTTGAGAACATACAGCTGTAAGATTTGTCTAAAGCAAGATTCATTAGAGCTTTAAATGCCTAGTAACCATTAAGTCTTTATCAAGCCACCTGTGATTTAAACTTACTGCTTTAACACAGTGTCCGTAGTCCATAAAGTCGGCTAACTCCTTGCCCATAGGGAAATTACTTTCAATGTGTCTTCTGTTCCCTTTCATTGAATATCATGATTCTGTCACAGAGTTACCTTGGTGTCACCTTGGTGAGCGGCCAACCTCTTGATTTCAAAGGCCTATTTAGTTTTAAGCTTTCAACTGCAAAGTAGAAGTGTTTATCTTTATTCCATAGAATCTAATTATATTCCCAGCTACATAATGCTGCCCTTCGTGGCTGAAGCTCATTCTGCTGACCCATCAGCAGCGGGATATGTGAGTTGAGTTGCTTTCCTTGCAGTGATGATGGATTTGTACTGACTCTCTCAATTCTTCTATGTAATTCCTATTTTGAAAATGGTACATACCTTCAATACTGGCTAACCAAGACAAGGGAGATCATTTGTGGCTGGGGAACAAAGCAAGGCTAACTTTGGAATTCATTATTTTAGGTGTTTTAGGGACCAAATTATCTAAGAGGAGATGGGAGGGGGCAAGTGTAGAAAGAGTCCATTTAACCGGTAGTCTGAAATTTGTCTGAGGATGGAAAAGGATTACTGAAGATGGAAGGAATCTCATTTTGAGGGGACAAATATAATATGGCCACATTTTTAGAAGTACATGTGTTAGATGTTTAGAATTACTATTATGAGTCATAATATTAACAGTGACAATTACCGAACATTCATTAAGAACTATAGAAAGATGACTTCTATTTTATTATTTTACTTTTCACTGTTTATGAAGCTTTTAAAAATAAATATACCTTTAGGTTAATTCATTTTAAGATTAAATTTCAATTCATTTGTTCCCTGTATTGAAAATAACACATTCCTATTTCTCTTTTCTCCACACACAATCAAAAATACAATTGAGGTGAATCCAGAGACTCATATTTAGGAAATAATATAGAAATGACTTTTTATATAACTATAAGACTTTCACTTCTTATTTCTCTATAGATGCCAATTAAATGGATGGCTCTGGAGTGTATACATTATAGGAAGTTCACCCATCAGAGCGACGTTTGGAGCTATGGTAAATAATTCTCCATTGTGATATAAGGCTTTTAAAGAAAAATTAATCATATTAGGTTTCTTGATTCTCTAAAATGTAATATATTAATATCTTGCTTGAGTTGTCTACCATAACTTTTGGTTTGGTAGCAACTTGTCTGATCATTTTGATAGAAAGTAACTCAGCAATTTTAGTTTAGGGACAATTTCATAGACTCTTATGGCCTTAATTTTCAGCAAATCTTTGAAAACATAACTATATGTAATGAATGTTCTAAAAATAACTTTGCTTTTCTTATGAGAATCTACGTTCTATGGTAAGAAAATACCATTGTTAAAACAAAGAACAATTACCGAAAGCAGTAGGGTGACAGCAATAAATGTGAGGGAAGAGATAAGAGCTAATTAAAGCTTTAATTTTAATTTACAAGCTACTTTTGGGGTAAAGAAAATTAGTAATATGAACTCAAAAATAGTGATTTAAAATTTATTTAATTGCATTTAACTCCATTTTTGAGATGACCTTCTTAATATCTGTCTGGCTATTTACAACTAAAGTCCATCTAAGTATTAGTTAAGAGTAAGTGAATGCCTTTTCTAAGTTTATGTATACTGAATAAAACTAGTACCTCTTACAGATAAAAAGCACAGTGCTTGTTTAAATAAAAAGTGGTGCTGAGACTCAAAAGCATGGTACAATTTACTTTACTCAAATTTAAGCTTAGTTTTATCTTTTCTGTTTTTAGAAAAAATTAAGGCATTCAGTCTCTAAAGAACTGTTAGGGCTTGTCTAGAAAAGCATAAATTATTAAAAAAAAATAAGACATTTCCATAGGACAGCTTTTCTTTCCATATATGTATGTTGTAGTAGGTATTAAAATTTTCGTGAAGGACTCATGTATTCTGCTCAGCTTAGTAGAGAGCTGTATGCTTGAGATTTAGGCAAGGAAAGGGGAATACTTGACAAAACTTAGTTAAACTGTAAGGACCAAATAAAGAAATATATCCTATATTATTATTTATATCATATGTTATATACATTATAAATATGAGACAGATGTATATATTATATGATATACATTAGTATGTAGATAAACACTTACATATTATATGGTATAGATTAGCATTTGTATTATATGACCTAAGTAGACATATATTTTATATGATAGATTTATATATTATTATATTTTTTCTTTTTCTTTTCTTTTCCTTTTATCCCCCCTATTTATATTTCCTTGAACTAAATGTGGCAGGCTGCCTCAGGCAAATTTTAAATGACCTCTAAAATAAGTAAATACATATACACATTAAAGTACATGTTGACAGGGTGATCACATTTTTAATAGTAAAATTTATCTTTTGGAGAAAATCCTGTTTTTTAGACTATAATGTTTTTCTTTGTGTTGAGTTGCAAGATCTCAGAAGCTGTTTAGTAAAAGATAGATAGATAGATAGATAGATAGATAGATAGATAGATAGATAGAAAGATAGAATGAACTTTGTTTTAAAACATAGCATAGGACATCAACCCATATCCACAGGGCATTTTAAGATTTTTATGATATATCATAGCTGGTTGCAAAAGGCATGAAGGCAGAGAAAGATACATAATTGTGTTTACTGTGAACCTTTGTGGAAAATTGCCACTGGGTGCATCTTTATTTTTACAAAAATAAATATGCATTGACTATGGTTTTTATCTTCAAGTGATTGAATTGTATTGTAAGTTTTGAGGATGTTTCTGATTTAGTTTTCTTGAAATTGTTCTTCTACATGAAGCTATCTCTGTTTAACCCTACCTTGTCATAACTTCTGCAAAGATATAATTGGAATATTATTGACACAAATGAGCACTGTGATTTTTCTGCTTTAGTTTTTGTATTTATATGTTTCTGCTCATTGTATTTTCTATTATTTTGACTTGTAATTGCTGTGCATCATACTTATATTAGAAGTTCTGATAGAGGTGTGATATGTTTTATAACTGCAAATGTAAGTTAATAATGTTCTCCTTAAATACATATTCTATAAATTTGATTGACTGAATAGAAATGGACAGTAATCCATTTCTTAACTTGTTCCAGCCTGCCTCATGGACACCGAGTTTTAATCATCGGTTATATGGAGCCATTCTTTAGTATGCAAAATCAAGTAGGATTTAATAATGATCAAACAGTAAAATTGTGTCACTAGTTACATGTTTATATTATACCTACGAATCATAGGATTATAAATGTTAACCCCCAAAAATCAGGTGATTTGTTAGTGGTACTACTATGAAGGATAATTTGAAGTTGACATATGTTTTTATATTTTAAGCTTTCCATTTTATTATCAGTCAATGAAAACTATTATGAGCTAGAAAAGACTTCAATTTAAATAAATAATTCATTACAGATGGCAGTGGAAAAGAGAACATATCCGTAATTAATGGATTTTTATATTAGAAGATACTTATATGCATCAATCAAAATTCGCTTGTTATTACTATTGTGCCCAGATAGATATTTCTGAACAAGCAACCTTTATCCTTAAGAAAACTGTAACTTTTAAATTATGTAATTATTAGATTATAAAGAAAAGATCTGTAGTATGTATATTACTGCTAAAATTATAATTATTATTATCAAAGCTGGCTATTTGTTTGCTAATATTTAGGGTATTTGCTTTTATAGAGGAAACCAATGTTCTAGTGATTCAAAAAACTGATTCCATTACTTAAGGAATAAACTGTTGTTGATTGCCTTCCATTTTGGGATGCCCACTTCACATGTATTTTATCTTACATATAGATCATTCTTCACTCAGTCTCTCATATGTGTAGAGAAAGGAATCTGTTTTATCCCACTTGTTCTTTGTGTTAGTTAAAAAGAGAGCCACAGTTATTTACTACAAAGTACTTAATCATCTGGAACCTCAGTTTGGTCTTTAGGGCTTTTAATGGCAAATATATTAATCTCAAAATTAGTCAATATCAGATTTTACCTAATCATATTTACTTGGTGCTGAATTCACATGCATATAGTAAATAAATTGTGGTGCAATTTAAATTGGGTCAGCAGACAGTAGGGTTACTTACAAGTAGAAATGGGGAACAGATTCTGTAACCAGATACTCACTCTGAATTGTCTATGCTACCCATTAAAAATTTCAAGGCAATAATAAGAAAATTGAATTTCTCACAAAGACTTT